GGAAGAATGGTGTATCAAACATTTCTCGGCAGGATTTAAACGAGATTCTCGCTCACCAAATGGGTGCATCGGTGAGCGAGCAAAGTTGTCAACCGTTGCATGCTCTGAGCAGCACCCATCGCCGTTAAAGAATACTGTTCTTTGCAGCTCGAATCGGGGTCCACAGATCCTTATTCAGGGTCCTTTCCTGTGGTCTGGTGCTGTTGAGACCTTAGTCGATACTGGGGCCGCAATCAGCCTCATCTCTCGACAAGCGTTGAGGGACAACGTCCGAATAGACCCATCTGAAATTTGTAAAATAGTAGGGCTTTCCAATGATGTTATGGAATCCCTAGGGACTGTGATGATTCCCATCCAATCGGATGTTTGCATCAAGTTTCACGTCGTTCCTCGTCAACCCGGAGGGTTCGAAGCCATCATTGGTGATGAAATGTTGAACAGGTTGAAAGCCCACATCTCCTTCAATTCGGGGACCATCACGTTCAGCAATAACCCACTCCGACCTATCCACATGTGTCTTCCTGATTTAAGGTCAAGGAGGGTGTGCAGGATTCCACTTACCGGGGGCGGACCTCGGGTGAATTTAAGGGTGAGGAATTTGATTAATGGTAGCCATCGTTTTCTTATCGATTCAGGAGCTGGAATAAATCTCATCGAGAGCAGGGTGGTTAAACCTGACGCAAGGATTGACCCTCCAATTGTCTGGGCCGTCACTGGTGTTACCGAGGATGACCTCCCAACCTGTGGACTCGTCCATCTAAAAATCTTTGGATCTCAAGTGCCTTTTCATGTGGTAGACTGTAAGTTACCGGTTAATCGATCTGGACTTCTGGGATTGGAGTTTTTGATCAGGGAGAAAGTTGATACACGTTATCTTCAGCGAACCATCACCACGGTGAAGAGACCAAATATCCCAGTCCACTGGTATGAACATCAGAAGACTCCAGGTTCAACAGTTTTGCCAGCGAGAACCAGAATGGTTATAGCAGTTCCCATAGTGGATACGGAATTGAGAACAGGGTATCTACCATCAGTATCTACCCCGAAGGCGGTGTATGCAGGTCAGGCTGCTGTGACCATACAGGATGGAGTAGCATGTGCCATCGCTATCAACACCACTGATGAATCTATGGAACTCAGCATTTCTCCTCAGAAAGTAGTAGCATTCGAGGAAGAAATGGGTGAACCCGACTTGGAGTTCTGTGGGTTAGTATTAACTCAGGAAGATGATGTTCAAGGCAGAGCCAGACCGGTGATACAGGCTCTCCCTGAACAGGAATTGCAATCCTTTGAAAGGAAAAAGGTGTTTGAGTTAATAACAGCCTTCCCTGATGTTTTTCAACTTCCCGGGGATAAGCTAGGGAAGTCCAGGAATTTCAAATGCAAGATCAGGACAGTAGATGATAAAGTAATCCACCAGAAGCAATACCAGTTCCCTCGTCAGCACAAAGAAGAGCTTAGCAGGCAATGCCAGGCTCTCGAGGACCAGGGAATCATCAAGCAGTCGGTGTCTCCTTATAATTCACCTTTGTGGATTGTGCCTAAGAAAGCGGATTCACAAGGCAGAAAGCGTTGGAGAATGGTCATCGACTTTTGAGCATTAAATCAAAAGACAATCGGCGATTCATATCCCCTTCCAGACATCACGCAGATCCTATCACAGCTTGGGGGAGCTAGATACTTCAGCGTATTTGTCCTTGCAAGTGGTTTTCATCAGGTTGAGATGGATGAACGGCATAGGGAGAAAACAGCTTTCACGGGACCGAATGGGCACTTTGAGTATGTCCGGATGCCTTTTGGACTTCAAAACTCTCCTCCAATTTTTCAGCGCATGATGGATCAGGCCCTTACGGGTTTGAAGGAAACAGAACTCTATGTGTATCTAGATGATATAAAGGTTTATTCTAGCACCATAGAGGAACATTGCCAAAGATTACAACATCTCTTTGACTGCCTTAGGGAGAATGGATTAACCCTTCAGCCAGATAAATGCCGTTTCTTCATGAAGGAAGTGGCATATCTGGGTCATATAATAGACGAAGATGGTATTCACTCTGATCCGTCCAAGGTCAAGGCACTGGTAGACATGCCTGCACCGACTAATCAACAAGGAGTTAGGAAATTCCTCGGTTTCAGTAACTATTACCGGAGGTTCGTTGAGAACTATGCAGAGAGAAAGCTGAGCCACTGACCCTACTCCTTAGGAAGAACACTGGATTTGAATGGGGAGAGGAGCAGGATGAGGCCTTCAGCCTCCTCAAGACCGCGATAACAGAAGACTCACTCCTTTACCATCCAGATATGAGGGAGCCGTTTGCTGTGCATGTTTCTAGCTCGGAAAAAGGTCTCGGTGCCATTCTCAGCCAGAAAGATTATGAGGGAGATGAGCACCCTGTACTTTTTGCATCTAGAACTCCTCGAGGAGCTGAGAGCCGGTATACCTCAGCGGAGCGAGACTGCCTGGCTGTGAATTATGCATTAAGCCAGCTCAAGCCATATATTTTTGGGGTTCCTTTCACCGTAATCACAAGTTCACCAGCTTTAAATTGGCTAAGGGATTCCAGCAATCCTACAACAAGACAAGTGAAGTGGAAAACATTCCTGAATGATTTTGAATTCGAGGTGGAAATCAAGAGGCAGAAGCGGGCTCAGTTGGCTGATGCCTTCGCAGAAAATCCACCAGAAAATTAAGTTAATAGTCCTGCCCTCATTACATGTCTCCCAGCCGGGGCAGTACTTAAGCCCATTTTGAAGCCAGGAGGAAAGACCACTGATCCCAGCCTCAGAGTTCGGTTCAATAGCGACCCCAAGACGTCAACAGTTTCAGGGACCTCTATCGCACACAGAATACGGGAGAGACGAAAAACAGAGATCAGTAGCGGGCAGCGGGCACCAGTCTTTTACCGGCTCAAACGAAGTTATCAAACTGGTGAAAGGAGTAAAATGCAACCAAAGATTGTTGAAAGAAGCCCCCCACAGCAAGAGGCTCACGCTATTGATAGGAAACTAGAAACGGGGGAAAAACCTTCGCCTTCAGCACCAGATGCTGAAAGCATTACTATAACCCCAGCGGAAACAGAAGCCAATTTAGATGAAATGGATCCAGAACTTACCTTAGAGAACCCGGAGGAGCTAGAGGTTACCTTAGAAGGAGAACCTTTAGAGGATGATGTTTTCAATCCTCCTCAGCCTCAAGAGGGCCTAGATGAGGCTATGATAGAAGCTGAGACCGTTATAGAAGATGAAGGTGACGAAGACGAAGAAAATACAACAGGTATTGCTGATGAAACTCTCCAGCGTTTTGACGGATTCATTAGCAAACTCAGAGAGAGAGAGCAGTTGGATGAATCCCGGAATCAGGGAACACCCGGCTGGGATTATTATGATGTGCCACCCATATTTCAATTGAAGAAGACAGGGTTAGGCAAGGAATTTCGGTGTCAGTTGGATGAGTCAAGTCTGCTGTTTGACTAGAAAATGGCAGAGTATGGAGATCAATCCATTCAGTTGACGGACCTGACAGACGAATTGCAGGACACATCTTTTCCACAAGCCATGGAAAAGGAAGCCAACATCTCTCCTAGCGGGGGTGACGCTAGAACCTCAACGGGAGAGGAAATGTCGGATATAATCTGGAAAAGGAAGGAAGGTCTAGCGGGAATGGTGAAAGACGGCAACGCATCAGTAATCCGAGAGAGTCTCCACCCACCTCGGGAAGACCTACAATCCTCAGTAACCCCGCGCAGTGTCCTCTACAAACCTTCCAGCGAATATCCAACAGGCCCAGAATGGAACCAAATAAGAACACCTGAGTTCGGGGCAGACAAGAATATCATTCCTCCAGACGACTTTTATCAATCCGCCTGCAACATTCTAGAAACTAGGGACGGACTGACCTTTACCAGAGGTAACATCGCGCACTTCCTAGCTGTAGATGGGGAACCAACTAAGCAGAACACCAAGTTGTTAAGAGACTTAGGACTAATCGACCTGGAAAATATCAGGAAGTTAAGGCCATCACCGGGTCAAGTTATCGTCACTAAATGCGGAAAATTCAAGACATTTACCCTGATCCTCAAACAATGGCATTTTAAGAAGGTGAAAAATGGAGCCTTAAAGAAATGCTTGTCCAATCTAGGAGAGACAATCACCAGATATCAGGTGGATGAGTTGAAGATGCTGCATAGCGGAGATGAAATTGACCAGGACATAAGGATCCGGTACTTCCTAGAGAAGGAATTCAGGCATTTTCCGGTCATCATTACTTCATGCCATGGTACAATAAACATGCCACCACTAGCTCTCAGACCCGAACTCATAAGGGAATGTCATGAAGCTCTTCCTGCTGGACATAAAGGTACAGTCAAATCCTTCAACAGGATCAGAGAGCGTTTTTATTGGCCAGGGATGAAACAGGATATAGAACGTTACATCAAGACCTGTAAATCCTGCCAGTTGGAGAAGATCCGAAGGGTGAAATTCAAGCAACCCATGCTTATCACTGAAACCCCGAGTGAATGTTTCGAGAGAGTGGCAATCGACACTGTGGGCCCTCTTCCAACAACCAGGAATGGGAACAAACATATCCTGACCATCCAGGATAGTTTTGCCAAACACTGCGTAGCAGTTCCACTCCCGGACATCAAGGCCCACACTATCGCTCAGGCGTTTGCGACACATTATGTCGCCCAATAGGGATGTCCTAAAGTCGTCCTGTCAGACAAAGGGACTAGTTTCCTCAGCAAGTTGTTTGCCCAGTTCAGTAAAATTTTGAGATTCCCCATGTCACCACTTCTGGATACAGACCTCAGTCAAATGGGGCTCTAGAGAGAAGTCATCACGTGCTTGTTGAATATCTCAAGGTACATAGTAATGAGGCAAGGGATTGGGACGAATTACTTCCTTTCGCTATGTTATCCTATAATACAACTGTCCATAGCGCCACCAATTTCACCCCTTTTGAGTTGCTGTACGGAACGACTGCGAGAACTCCATCTAACATGAGAGATAATGTGGAACAAATTGAGACCTATTCAGATTACATGGTAGACTTTATAGGTAAACTGGACAAAATACAGGAAATTGCCTACAAGCAATCACAAAAATCAAAATTAAACTCCAAAAGATTATATGACAGAGATTATAAATCTCTCCAATTGAGAGTAGACCAATTTGCCTATGTGCGAAAGGAACCCAAGATGGGAAAATTGGACCAGGCTTACACTGACCCATATGAAATTATTGATATCACAGAGAAAGGAAATGTATTTCTAGAAAGCGAGGATGGGCATCGCTTCATGAAACAACCAAATAAATTAAAGCCATGTCCAGATTAACAGAACAAAGTGAAAGACTTCTAACAAGGATAATCATGTTACAGGGGATGGCATGCCAAAGGACAGACAATAATGAAAAGATAACAACAGTTTATGTGGATGGTTCTTGTTCAAATAACGGTCATCCCGGAGCCATCGCAGGATTAGGAATTTGGTTTGGAGAAAACCATCCTTTGAATACCTACAAGACTCTGACTGGAAAGAGGGTAACCAATATCGCAGCGGAAACAGCAGCAGCCATTGAGGCTTGCAGGATATGCCTTAGACACGACATAAGGCGGGTTAGGATAGTCACTGACTCCAAATACTTGGTGGACTGTATGACAACTTACCTCCCCAAATGGAAAGAGAATAGATGGTTGAGCGCCAGAACAAAACCAGTGATCAACCAAAGGTTGTTGAGGTTTTTGGATGAGATATCAAGCCAATTGGAGGTACGATATGTGTTCACGCCAGGACATCGGGGAATTCAAGGGAATGAAAGAGCTGATGAGCTAGCCAAGATTGGCTCAAAATCAAATTTCTTATAAAGGCATTAAGACACCAATGCTGCCAATACCCTCCCCAAACCGAGATATAAAAAAGAAATAAATAAATGAGCCAAATTAATTATTAATTACAGAAAAAAAAAACAAGCAAAACACGAGATGCATTTCGAAGGCCTAGTCTTCCTGATTTTAGTCAAGTTTAGTCCAGCCGAGGCTCAGGAGAATGGACAAGAGCAAAAGTACTAGCAGCACCCGATCCTACATAATCCGGGTATATATTATGAGAAAATTGACCAGGTTCGCAGTATCAACAAACACTGGCATTTAATATTAACAGTGGACACGCATAGTCTGCTAGGTCAGCCACTTCCAGGACAGAAGGTTATGGAAAAGTACCATCAGGAATGTGAGAAGGCCTATCAACAAGAGGAGGTTTGTCAACAAGTCTTGGGGGAGAAAATCATGAATGACTATGCGCAAGAACTTAAACAATTACAGGAACATCTGAAAACTATCCTACAATTTACTAAGGAAAACCAGGGATTAACCAGGCGTGGCCGATCTCCGTTTCTGGGATTCGTGGGTATCATCGCCAGGAAACTTTTTGGGACCATGGATTATAACGATCGTGAGCACATAAATAAGGAAATTCATCGGTTGGACCAAGATCAACGACAAATAACGCACCTCATCGAGAACTCTACACATATAATCCAGGCTGAAATGAATTCGATGAAATCAAATTATATCAGGAATCTGTAGAGCATCAAGAAAGCTGAGGAAAAGTTGGAGGAGCTAGTCAGAAGCCCAAATATGGTTATAAGTAACATAAACACCATGGAGTATTTACAGCATCTTACACAGATTGCTGTAGAAGTAGAATACGCAGCTAAGAAATACATCGAAACAGGCCACAGGTTGGTTCAGGCCATAGAAGAGGCAAAACATGGGAAATTGCATCCAACGCTTATAAATAGCGAGCAGGTGAAAGCTGCAGCACACGAATTTGAAAAAGTTACCAAAAATAGTATATTTCCAGTAAGTAGAGGAAAAATCGACAACAATTTGCTGATGCAAGTTAGCAGCGTGAGTACAGGGTTCAGCAACGGAAACTTCATCATCACCCTAAATATTCCCCTATTAACTCGAGATTATATGGATCTGTACAAAATGATTCCATGCAAAACACTTCAAACAGTTCATGGAAATCAGACTGTGGTTGCCTATGTTCAACTAGAGAAAGAATTCATCATGTTTGCCAAATCCACCCAACAATATATACTCGTGGACAAAGAGTTTCTGGAAACCTGCATTCCCCTGGAAAATTGCCTAGCATGCCCAAGAGGAGTTCCCAAAAAGAAATTCACCAACCCTCCAAGCTGCGAATAGCAACTTCTAACAAATTCAGAACTGGAACCGACTCCTCAAACTTATCAAAATTGCAACGTCAGAATTAGCAACGACCTAACTACGCAATGGACCAAGCTTAACAGCAGTGATGGCTGGCTTTATTCAGCGGTCCACCCTGAGAAGGTAGAGATTAGTTGTGAAGACCTTGCCACTGCTCAGCTAATAGTGAATGGAACAGGTTTGCTGCACATCAGGTCAACCTGCACAGCAGAAACGACCACAACGATATTAGAAAAGACAGGATTGATCCAGGCACAGCTTCCATCTATCTATAATCTACCAATCAACATGAATATATCCGAAATCGCACCAGTTCTGATCAACCCGCCGAGGAAGCTCCATCCGCTGACAAATATTGACCTTCAAGTGATGCCCCTCCCGGATGATTCAAGTGTCTTTGATGAATCAATGCAACGAACAATAAATGAAGCAAGGAATATAGGGCTACATCATCAGGAAGAGTATTATCACAGAATATTGACTACTACGAATTGTACTGTCACGGGACTGCTTTCTTTGGTATCGGTCGTTGAAGGCGTATGGGCTTACAAGAAAGGTTTTGGCTGCCTAAGTTTTCTCAGTTGCTGCAGCAAAGGAAAAAAAGGAAGAACCAGTAGGAAGTCAGTTGTCTCCTGGATAACCAAGCCTGACACCGAAGAAGCTTATGAATTACCAACCTTCAAGCCAAGGCCTTCCATCCTGAGAGTTCCAGCAGTGGAGCCACCACCCCCACCAACGCCAAAAGGCAACAGGATGAGGACAGCTAATCTGGAGACAGCAATGGAATCAAGACAGCCCACCCAAACCGCAGTTAAAATAGACTATATATAGGGGACAATATAGGGATTAAAATCGCATTAATGTTAAGAAGAATAAAAAAAAAGGGTAAGAAAATATGTTTAAAAAAAATAGTTCCATAAACACCAAAATTAAATAAAACGCGGCAAAAGGATGCGGAAATGATTCTGAACAGAAGTTCAAAATAGGGAACTAATTGCAACGGTCAAAAACAGCATAAAAACAAAAATCAAAACTATAAAAACTAGATGGTTGAAAAGAGCGAAATTCAAAGGTATTAAACGTCTCTAATCCAAATTGTCCCATTTCAACCCATCACCCTGAAAATTACACCCTTACGCCGACGTTCAGGATAGGAATATCAAAATATGTAAAAAAAAAATGATGAGCAAGCAATTTCTGGTCAGAAATCAATTTTTCCTTTTTGTTTCAAACAAATTAAGTGTGGTAAAATATTAATATAACAATAACCGACGGTAGTGGCCGTGCGGTTAGAGTGCTGGACTAGCATGCCAAGGATCCGGGTTCGATCCCGGGCACCGGGGGTCAAAAATATATAGCGCTCTGATCTCACGGTTCCACTGCCGAGCGGTAGTCCTGTCAAAAGGACGACTGTACCAGGGTAGGTTTTTTCCTCAGATGAGGTTTTCCCTCCCTTTCGGCAAATGCGGTACAGGGGGTTGGGGGGTGGGAAGGGAACAAATCGTAAAAACCCGAAAGGGTATACGAGTGAAAGAAAAAAATATTAATATAACAATAATAATGAAATGCAAATGACATGCAATGAAGTATGGTGTGGAATCGGCTCATTCCCGGTGGGGCGAACGTGCATGACCACAAGATGAGATAGCAGCTTTCCTAAAAAGCAAGGGAAAAAAAAAACTTTGTGGTTATAAGGCAGATAAAAAAAAAAGATAAAAAAAAAAAATTGAAACGTACCGAAGGCCAAAAGAACCTCCACATAATCTAGCATGCTCTGCAAACCATGGGAAGTAGGTACTGTCAGGAGCACGGTTCACGGTGCGGGTAACCTCTTTATCACATAACTCGCCAACAAAAACCTTATCCATACCCGCCACCTCAAATCTATCCCATGCCACATCCCTATTACCTAATATATCACAGGATAACCTGAGATTTAGCTCCCTCACCTTTTTGGGGAATACCGGCCCATGATTTCCATTTTCACGACGAGAGGCACCTGTGACGTCAAGGAAAGCATGGGTCAGCTCATGGAAGAGGGTGTGAACAAGCAGTGAACGACACAATCCAGGCAGGAGAAGACACTCCTGCATGTAAATCACCTTCCTTGTGAAGTCTGTATAACCAAAGCAGTCTTTACGAGTCTTCGTCCAGACAAAGATATAACCTCGCACAAGACCACCAAAGAATTCGGAATTCAGGGGAGATGCCAGAGGAAAAAGGTGTTATAGACCCGAGCGGTTGGGTTCGATATTAGGGATAGATCACTTGCAGATAATTAGAAATTAATATCTCTCAAGGAGATTCAACTTTTTAATGAAAAACGATTTATTAAATAAATAAAGTCTTGACTAATGCCGTAAATATCAGGCAATATGTGTTTACAAGAAAGTGACTTAACGAATCG